TGGAGAACATCAGTACATGGCCAATGTGCAGTCACCCGCGGTCACTAGGGACCAAGCCCATGTCCCCTTATCCAAGAGCATCACTAGGTCTTCTGAACATCAGTCACCACTGGGGATTCTTAGGCGTGTGTCTGAGCCACCCTGAGACATCCCTGGGCCCCACTGCCAAAGTTTCCAATCTAGAAGGTCCGGGAAAGGGCTTGCAGATTTGCATTTCTAACAAATTCTCAGGTGATGTGATGCTGCTGGTCCAAAGACGCGTGTTGAGAAACACTGGTTAGGGCCATGGGCCGTGGGTGATGGGAATACCTAAAAGGCCAATGTCTGATGGACCTGTTGGTTGTCTCCATTCTCCCTCCAGCGCCAAGTCCCTTCGTGCGCTCAGCACTGCCTCTACGATAAACCCAGTCCTTCAGAGTTTTGTCTCTCTTCGTAACTAGAGAGCAAGTTTACCCGTAGTTTTGGACTTCCACGGCGTCAACCAGACTACAGGTCTGCTAAAATGGGTTTGAGGTTTAGTTCTTTGAAAAGTGGGTTTTATCTCAAGGGTAGTGAAAGTGGCCAAGGTGAGGGGGTGGGGTGGCAGGACTGGACCAGGAAATAATCCAGTGAGGGCCACCCTTGGGTGGCCCAACACTCTTGTCTCCATTTCCATCTTCAGTACAGATGGAGGGAGGTATTTAATAGGTACCTCTCTGTACCAAAAGATGGGCAAACTTCCAAGATCCATGGGGGAGCGAGCTGATTGAATCACCTGTGAGCTCCTGTTCAGCCCAGAAAGGGGGCTGAACATCTTGATCGGGATGCGAGGTGGGAAGGTGGGTGGCACTATTTTACTAGCTACTTGCAGAACTCCCTGTTGTCTTCCAGGTGAGAGGGATGAGCCTACTAGCACCAGCCTGAGAGGGCCGATGCCACGCGTAAGGGAGGGCCCACGTCTGAAACTGTGTCTGACATATGGGATGTGCCCGATAAATGACGGCCAAGAGGACCTTGGGTGTGTTCTGGGGCAGCCCGGGGATAGGCTCGTGCTCTGCTAACAGGGGTTTTGAGGGACACGGAGTCTTTTCTGAACCACGTGTAGGTCTGTAATGATGCGTGGAACACTTTGCAAAAACTGCTTCTCAGGGGACATCCCCTCAGGAAAGGCTCTCGATCTGCTCAGAGTTACGTGGCTTTGGCTCTAGAAATGGGAGCCCCCTTCAGAAACCAGGGAAGGGGGGCCCCTCAAGCGTGGGCTTCTCCCTCCCCTGCCCTGACATGTCTGGCAGCCCAGAAGCCTAATAATTTACACAAGGGACCCGTATCACTTATCTCCGAAGTTAATCTGTGATCATTTTTGGCTGTGGCCTCGCAGTTTTAACTTTCTGAGAAACGAAAACCAGTGGAGTCCCAAGAGCTGGGCACCTTGGTGTTGTTGAATACACTCTATCCTCCTGGGCAGCTGTTTCGAAATCTCAAAAAGTTGGCTCCCAACCCTGTCAGACTCCACCATGAGTCAGCACGAACAGGATGTGAGTGCCTGGCCTGTCATTTTCCCAAGCGTTGACAAAGACTCTGGTGCAGAACAGGCTCAAGTGTGTGATCTGTACATGGGTGGCTGGGGGCTCCGGCTTGGCCTTTCAGCGGTGAGACATTGACAGCACCATGGATGTTACAGCAAACTGAAGTCTCTGGCTTTGCTCCCCCGCCCCCGTGCCCCGGTCCTTACTGCCTGGGAAAGAGGCTTGGGTGAAACCATCCAGTGAACCATCTGGTCTGGGGGTGGATGTCTGAGCTACTGTTTTCTTCCCCCTTCTCAGTTTCCCAGGCCTGGAGCCTTTCCTCTGCCATTAGGAACGGAAAGGGAAGGATCCGGGAGCTAGCTCAGGGAACATCCAGAAGGTCGCCTGGGCTCCATTTCGGGTCCACGACGAGGGCTTGTATTTGCGGTGTGATGTTTGTGACCCTGGGGCCATGCCTCAGATCTGAAGGAAAGTGAAGTTGTGTGTGCAGGGGGAGACCTACCTGGGGGGCCCTTCAATACCAGAGATGTAATTCAGCCAGACTGGGAGTGAGTACAGGAAGAACATGTGACCTTTGGGACTGTCCAGTGTGAGGCTGGTGGTTTCCACCAACTATCAGTGGATGCTGGCATGTGGGAAGCCACATGTGTGACTGGCTCTTAATTAGGGGCAAATCTTTTTTTTTTTTTTATTTTTTTTTTATTTCTTTTTTCAACATTTATTTATTTTTGGGACAGAGAGAGACAGAGCATGAACGGGGGAGGGGCAGAGAGAGAGGGAGACACAGAATCGGAAACAAGCTCCAGGCTCTGAGCCATCAGCCCAGAGCCCGACGCGGGGCTCGAACTCACGGACCGCGAGATCGTGACCTGGCTGAAGTCGGGCGCTTAACCGACTGCGCCACCCAGGCGCCCCGTGGGGCAAATCTTTTAAAGTTCCTGAATGGGCTCTCTTAGGTTGTTTTTTGAATGGTAACTACATAGCCGGCCAACATGGAGCCATTATGGATTTTACTTATCCATGCAAGAGCTCCTGAACAAGCTAGCTCTGAATGTGGGGACCAGGTAGGAGGGATCCACATCTCGGTCCCAGCAGGGTCCCTTCCAGTCTGATCTTAGGACAGTTGCCAACTTCCTCCCTGCGGGTGCCTGTAAAATGAAGGTTGAGCACATGATCCTTAAAGCCCCGCCACGTCTCACTCTGTGATTTTGGTCAAGGTCTGCATGGTTGGATGTCTGTTACTAGAGTCTGCCCGGGCTGTCATACTTTGGTGTTTCATCCCTCAGAAGTGGGGTAACTGGAGGACAGCACAACGGTGACACTAGAGGACCCAGGTTTTCCCTTGCACCCTTCTCCCTGGCTGACACATTTCTTCGCTCCTATTTTTCCTTTGCCCACCCAGGAAGGCACTGCATACGAAATCTTGGGGTCAGTTTCCAGACGTCAGGTCACAATAGAAAATGCCAGTGCATAGGACACAAATCAGGAAGCTGGTTTTCCCAACAGATTCATCTGGGCAACGTTCTTCCCAGAATGTTAGATACCACAGAGCCAGATTTATCACCTTTCAGAAAGCCCGGTATTTCACTGCCACCGGCAAATGGGGCCCTTGACAAAAAACAAAACAAAACAAAGCAAAACAACAATAACAAAAACCCTCAGGCTGCAGGAGTTGATGTGAATCAGCTAACGCATTTGCACAGAAGGTTAGGGGAAAGGTAGAAGGAACAACAATACAGAGTTTCCAGAAATAAATACAGACTATCACAAGTGCCACGCGAGTGTTGGGAACAGCAGGGACAATGAGTGTTAAGGGGAGATTGAAACTCTGCCACTCGGGGCGCCTGGGTGGCGCAGTCGGTTAAGCGTCCGACTTCAGCCAGGTCACGATCTCGCGGTCCAGGAGTTCGAGCCCCGCGTCAGGCTCTGGGCTGATGGCTCGGAGCCTGGAGCCTGTTTCCGATTCTGTGTCTCCCTCTCTCTCTGCCCCTCCCCTGTTCATGCTCTGTCTCTCTCTGTCCCAAAAATAAATAAACGTTGAAAAAAAAAAAAAAAAAAAAAAAAAAAAAAAAAAAAAAAGAAACAAGAAACTCTGCCACTCAACAGAACTCTGCCGGCAAAGGCTCCAAAGTCTCCTTGTGCAAAAAGGGTTTGGGAAGCACACGATGAATGAATTTCAACAGCTTTCTTTATTTCCTAACTTCTCAGCGTCTTTTGTATGCTACTGTGCTTCGTGAATGAATCTCTAGGGGGAGGATGGAGTTTTTCCAAAATCGGGCACCCCTTTCCTCCCTTTTTACAGAGAATTTTGCGCCATTGACAAAGGTCAGGAAATGGGAAGGGCCAGGGGCAGCCGGTTTTCCTGGGAGACTCAGGGCTGCATCTTGGGCAGGTGGCACATGGAGGGGACGGCAGACCCAAGGAAGCTCTGAGTAGACAGGCAGAGCCCGTATCTTCTCTGCCCATCAGCAAGCAGTGCCCGGTCAGAGAACACGTCTGCAAAAGCACAGACTGGTGTGGATTTGACCTCCCTCCCATGGCAGTTCTGTCTCCTGCCTTCTCTTCCTCCCCTGGAATGTCTGAGCCACAGATTTAAACGCAAAGCTGGCTTGCAGGGCCATGATCTTTGGGGGAGGGGACATCATCTATCTTCCTGCATTGACCTGTCCCTCTGCCTGCCTTTGGAATGATCCTTTCACTTGTTTGGGAACTGAGAATAAGCTTCCGCAAACTACCTGCTGCTTGGGAGCCAAACCGTAACTGGTCTCAAGTGGCAAAGTGGTTTCAGTTAGACCCTCTGTCCTTAGAGCTGTCTCAGCCTTGTGCTGTCCTCAGGGCTTTTGTACGGTCAGGGGCCCCTTCTCTCTCCACCTCACTGAGACTCCTTGGTGCAAGTCGCTCCATTCGCGATGTTTTGGTGCACCTGCTAATTCTCTGGGGATGGAAAGAGGACAGGGGACCAGAAGTTCAGCCTCCATATTCCTTGTCCCTCCTCACTGGGCTGCAATTCCCCGGTGACCTCTCTCACGTCTCTTTGGACCCTTGAGGAGTGCTGCTCGGTGTAGCACCTGGGCAAACACTGAGCAAATACCAGACTTGTCCTGAAAGTCCTGTGTGACCCTTTAACAAGGCCAACAGGAGCACGTAGGGGAAGAGCCTCAATGTGCCCCAGCAGTAGACCCTGACCCAGAAGGTCAGAACTAACTTCAGCTTTCAGTAAACAGGTAGTGGGCTTCTGGGAACATCTGCCTTTTCTGTGTCTTGTGAATTATTTTTAAACGAACGCCCTGCTGCCCACCCGCACCCACCCCCCATCATCACCCCCGCAATTTTCGTTGATTATCGCTGTTTGAATAGGTGGTGATAAATTTGATTCCCCAGCTCACTGTGGCATTTATGATCTGTCTTTCCCTTTTCGGTTTCCATGTACTGGAGTGACTGTCTCTCAATGCGGTTGGCAGTGACCTGTGTTTTTCATGCATGTTTTTGTTTCAGAATAACTGGGAGGTGAAACAAGAAGCTCTATGACGCAGTTGATCGAAAATGACACAGACACAGAAAAGTCAGGACTCAGCCCCCTCCAGTGCCTCCACCTGCTGCCCACGGCCAGAGTGCAGGTGAAGGGTTTCCCCTGGGGCTTGATCCTAACTAAACCCCGGAAGACGTTTGGAACTCTTTTTCCACACCTACTCTAATCGTGGCCTGTTAATGATCACACTAAAATCATCAGTAACTTTGAGCTTCTACTGAAAACCTCTGTCTTCTCAGCTGCCTCCTTTTCTTCCCCCGCACCTCAGTCACCTTCGTTCCACGAGGTTTCTTGGGCTCATACTGTTATGGCATGTTCTAGAATTGAGTTGGATGGGACCCACTCTGTCCCTCCCCCTTCCCAGCACTTACCAATATCAACAATTATGCTGTTTGTTCACTCATTAATTGGCCGTGTACCTCTCAACCTGCCTTCCAAATTTCAGTTCAATAAAGGAAGATTCTAGTCTGTCTCATTGCCCAGTCTGTCCTCAGCACCTGGCGCTCTGCTCAATAATTATGTGTTGACTGGATCCATCATCTTATCACTTCTCATACTGACTCTGTGATATTGAGTTGCCCAGTATTCTAACCACTGTTTGGTGGATGAGGAAATTGTGAATCCATTTACCTCTGGTGATCTAAGGGGGTAAATGGAGTGGCCAACGTGGGGACACAGGCTTTCTGTCAGTATACTGGCCGGCGGGAAAGGTTGATCATAAACTGTCTATTACCTGGATAATCAGATTCTCACCTGAAACCAAGTTTTGCCTTGCAAATCAATGTCCTTAAGTTCAATCTCATTTGCTTATGTTCCTGGAAGATTAAAGGCAACCATGTAGCAGAGGGATGTGTCCTCAGTGGGGAGTCTGGAGTATGGGGCCCTTGTCCTCGCTCTGCAAGCTGTTGCCTGGGTGAATCATCTAACTTCTCTAGGCACTACTTTCCTCGGCAGAACACCAAGAAGACCAGATGATCCCAAAGATCCCACCCTGCCCTGAGGTTCCTTTCCCTTCTCTGCCAGTTCTGTTTTTCAGAGTCTAGAACTCTGAGGAGGCAGTGCAGAAAGGTATCGTGGGGAAACACAGGCAAAGCCCCTGAGAATACACAGAGCCCAAGCCCAGTTGTGGGTTTACGGACGTGCCCCATGGGGTGCTCACACATACCGAAACCCCTTTAGACACATCCTTATCCTGGTATGTTTCGTTCTCAAGAACAACAGGAGGAGCAAAATAAATTGAACACACAATTCTAGATGGATGGGGCAATGGTTCTGAACCCTGGTCAGACATCAGAATTACCCAGGAGTTTTCAAAAATCCAAATGCCCAGGCTCCACCAGCACCATTCACAACAAAATTTGGAATGGTGGGGGCAGACATGAGTATTTTGTTTTTTTTTTTTTT